GAACCCTCGGCGGGAGTGCCGCCGCACTCCCAAGCGGCGCACTGTAGCAGTGCACCACTGGGCCGGCCCCTGTTTTTAAAGTTTTAAGGAACTTAAGTCATCTAAATGATTTGCATTCTAAAATACCTTTTTTTTTTTTTTTAAGATGACTGGTAAGGGGATCTTAACCCTTGGCTTGGTGTTGTCAGCACCATGCTCAGCCAGTAAGCGACTGGCCATCCCTGTATGGGATCCGAACCCATGGCCTTGGTGTTATCAGCACCACACTCTCCCAAGTGAGCCACAGGCCAGCCCTAAAATACCTTTTAAAACATCAGAGATGTTTAGGATTACAGTTCTAAGCATAAAATAATCATTGAATCAGAGGGTTCCTAAAAGAAGTTTTCATAAGTAAATAAGAGCTATTGGCAATGGAATGTCATATTTTGGAATGGTCCTTTCAGGCTTGTAGTCACTGATAGTATTGGGGCTTTCTTTCCCTCATGGGGAAAAATAGACAATAAAATGAAAAATTTGTTATTGTCAGAATTTGACTGTAGAGTACTTAAAATTTGATATCAGGATTAGAAACAAGATAGTAGAATTTCCGTGTGTGTGTGTGTGTATAAGGGTAGTTAAAAATGTTCATGCAAGGTCAGGGGTTTCAGATCCTTGTACCAGCCAGCTGCAAAAAAAAAAAAAGTTTGTGGAAAAATAGGATTAAAAGATAATACTAATCTTTCCATGAACTTTTGAAGTGCCCTCATATATGAATGATTCCTTCTGTAGAAAGGAGTAGTGAGTAATCTACAGTTGGCCCTTGAACAATAAGGGATTTAGGGGCACTGACCCCATTCCCCCTGCAGTTGAAAATCCATGTGTAACTCTTCCCCCAAAACTTAACCACTAATAACCTATGGATAGGTAGGCTACTTAACTGTTTGGTTAGGTGTGTCATGCATTTATGACATAACCCAGCCAAAAATTTTCCTATATAGATATTTAGATATATAGATATATTTTTAAAAATTTTGGGGGGGTGGCTGGCCAGTAAGGGGATCCACACCTGTGACCTTGGTGTTATAAGGCTGTGCTCTAACCACCTGAGCTAACTAGTCAGCACTCAAGTATATTTATTGAAAAAATTCGTGTATGAGTGGACCCACATAATTCAAACCTTTCTTCAAAGGTTTGTTGTATTTTGAGTCCAGATGATGTGTTTTTTTCCATAGGACATCTATTTGTGGTCTTGAAAGATATAGCTACTGAGATTATTTCATA